GAACCCGTGTCCCCTGCATCGGCAGGCAGACTCTCAACCACTGTGCCACCAGGGAGGCCCACCACTCTTTTTTAGATTCTTTTCCCATATAGGCCATTACAGAGTATTGAGTAGAGTTCCCTGTGCTATACAGCAGGTCCTTATTAGTTATCTATTTTATATATAGTAGTGTATATATGTCTTGATTTACCTGCTCTAGGGCTTAGAGTAGCCCTAGCTACGAGCTGCTAATAATGGGCTCAGTTCTTGCTTTGACAACTAGAATGTGTTTTGCCTTATTAATATTACTGGAATGAAACTTTCCATTTCAACCCTCAATATAAGAAATGGGTATGTTCTATTAACAGAACAATAGAACAATGTTCTATTGTTCTAGTAACAATAGATCCCTTGACTCTAACTTCTCAAGAGAAATGAGCACATTCACCAGATTTTTCTTCTACACACTTGATTGATTTGACATCGAGTAAAAAACTGGGTGTCAGGATCGAACAGAAAGCAAACTCAATTGCACTGCTGCATACGGTATTCTCTGTTGCCCTGACGTGCCTAGTTCAGGATGCAGACCCTGAAACGCGAGGCCATCCTACCTGGAATTACCTTCGCCCACTTCACGACTTGGATCATCTGTTTGCCTGCTAAGCGGTTTAGGGTGGAGAGCAGATTTTCGGCTGTATCTGGTTTGGAGTTGTCATAGCCTGCATACACAATCTCGGGTTCGATGGTTTCAAGGACCATGGAAGGGGAAGGTGTGAGCGCTCGGGAAATTGTGGAGAGTTGAGGAACCAGCGCTGAGTTGACGGACGGCTCTTGCGCAGGAGCGATGTACGTAGTTCCTTCCTCTGGGCTCTGTGGTGGGGGAGGTGGAGGCTGCTGTGACTGTTCCTCGTGAATCCCTTTTAACTTCCCCAACTTCTTGGACTTTCGAGCTGTAAAAAAAAAAAAATTATAAACAGGGCAAATTAAGATTATGTTTGGCATGATAAATACCATCTAAAGCACAACACTTCTGTATGTTATATACAAATGTCATTAAGAGTAAATCTTAAGAGTTTGCATTACAAGAAAAAAAATTCTATTTCTTTCATTTTGTATCCATATGAGATGCCGAACGTTCACTAATCTGATTGGGATAATCATTTCATATCGTATGTAAGTCAAATCATTATGCTGTACACTTTAATACAGTGCTGTAGGTCAATTATTATCTCAGGAAAACTGGAATTAAATAAATAAATCAGTAAGTGGCACCACACCAAAAAAAAGGAATTAAAAAAAGATTATGTTTGGCATACCTTACATGAGGTAAGTTGCAAGCAAATATTGACTTATATTGATTAAAGCGTACTTTTCCTCTAAGGATGTCTTGTTATACTAGTAGGAACAGCCCCTTTTCAATATTTTCTGATACCAAACACTGTCCTAAATGCTTTTTATAAATTAACCACTTTAACAATTTTATGACTAGGTACTATTACGATTCTCATTCTATAAAGAGGAAGCAGACCAGAAGGGTCAAGAAATCTGTCCAAGACTACACAGCTAGTATATGTAAAATAGAGTTAAGAGCTCAGAGGAAGGATAAATTATTTCAGATGCTAATAAGTTACATATGTCTCAACTAAATCTTATATAAGCCAATAATTCCCACCTATTACCCACCAAAGAGCTGGCAACAAGGGCTAGACTCGCCTGATTGAGCTTATCATCTTATTGCTGTCTCTGCTCCCTCTAATTAGCTTTCTCTGGCCCTTTACTTATTCCTCTTTGGTGCTTCTCTACCACTTACTCTTCCTGCTGTGGTCCATGTGCAACCACTTGATTACTCAGAGTAGTTATTTTGTGCAGATGCTGTTAGACCCACCGATGTCCCCGGCTATACTGTGAACTGCTGAGGCATAAAGATTGGGTGTTCCTCTTCTTTTACAGCCCGCATGGCACCTTGGTAAATGCTATGCCTACACAAAGTGACTTACCAATTTCCAATGAATGAATGGGAGCTAACCAACCCCAAAGAAAGGCAACAGGAGGGAAGAAATGAAATATCTGGATGATTCCAAATTGGGGCACTAACCAGTAAATGTACAGGAATTAATGCTATTAAAAAATTCAGGTGTGAGTTATACCATTACACAATCCTTAAAAATCTCTCCTACTCTATATTTTTACTATAAATAAACAATTCACATGTCATATAGCCTACAACTAAAAGATATCACAGTATGGTACAGGAATACCACTTTAGAATTTTAGTAGAATGTATTACAAGTGACCATATTCTGATTTACCCAGAACAGCCCTGGTTTATGCTTGTTTTCCAGCATGCTTATTAGTAAGTGCCCTGTTTACTCCTAAAAGTACCACATTTTGGACAATAAATAGTGTGTTCACCATAAAACCAAAGAATCAGTATTAACTTTAATAGCAACTGCTTTTAAACAAATTTTATTGAAGTATAGTTGATTTACAATGTTGTATTAATTTCTGCTGTACAGCAGTGACTCAGTTATACATATATATTTTTCATATTCTTTTCCATTATGGTTTATCACAGGATATTGGATATAGTTCCCTATGCTATACAGTAGGACCTTGTTGTTTATCCATCCTATATATAATAGTCTGCATCTGCTAATCCCAAACTCCCAATCCTTCCTTCCACCATCCCCCCTCCCCCTCGGCAACCACAAGTCTGTTCTCTATGTCTGTGAGTCTGTTTCTGTTTTGTAGGTTCATTTGTGTCGCATTTTAGATTCTACATGTAAGTGATATCATGTGGTATTTGTCTTTCTCTTTCTGACTTACTTTGTTTAGTATGATAATCTCTAGGTCCATCCATGTTGCTGCAAATGGCATTATTTCATTTGTTTTTATGCCTGAGTAATATTCCATTGTATATATGTACCACATCTTTATCTATTCATCTATTGATGGACATTTAGGTTGTTTCTATGTCTTGGCTACTGTAAATAGTATAACAGCAACTGCTTTTCATTCACATCTCTCTTGAGGGTTCTTACAATAGATATGGGGAAAGAAAGACTGGGGAGGTGGAAGGGAGAATTGGGAGGTAGATGTGAGGGCTGGGGAATGGATGGCAGGTGGGTGGGGTTAATGGGGAGATGGATAGATAATGGGGAAGATGGGTGAATGAATGAATAAATGGATAAAGGATAGAGAAAGCTTAGATGTGTCAAACTGAGCTTAGAGCTATGGTAATAATTTACTTTGCAATTGTAAGGTTTTCCATTTAATTGAAGAATTTATTTTAAAATTCTTGAAGTACCAGACACCTTCAACTTAGCTCTAACATGTGTGAGAAACTTACAGGATACGAATTTAACACAGAGTAGGGCTATGCCACACCGATTAATTTGATTTTCAAAATAACCATTCATGCTTGTAAGTATGGCCATAATATTACATTTACCACTTGCATCACAGAAACACTGATTCAGATAAAAGACAAGCCACTATCCAACAACAGACATACCTGCCACACATTCATAAAATACTGGAACTGGGCTTAAGAGATGAACAAGATATAATTCCTATCTTTAAGAAGCTTGAAATTAGCAAAACAATTAAAAAATTTCAGATCACTTCTCATGGACTGTCTCCTTCAATGAAAGAGGCAGAAAAACCTGGGTTTTACAACTGTCTGAATGAAAAGCAGATGTATCCTATTCATGTAGTATGCTAATGGGGAGTGGCTGACAAAGTACTGCTCAGCAGTGCTGAGCATACAGTAGGAGACCAAGATGCTTCTGATGAATGAATGAGTGAACGAACCAAAGAAAAAAATAATCACTAAATGCCTCAAAAACTAGGCAAAACAGAGAAGGAGAAGAAAAGAATCAAACATGCAGATAATCCCCAATGCTGGTCAATGGATGATTGTATCTATAAGTGTTTGAGAAGATCCTCGATAACACAGATTAGTCATTTGGGGAATCAGATACTTGGGACTAACTGCCTCTGTGTCACATAAACTTGTCTCTAAGCCTCAACTGACTCATCCGAAAAATGAGAATGACAGTGTTTCCCTCTCCTATCTCACAGAGGACTCAACAGGTAAGAAAACTAAAAACGATGTTGAAAATTATTATTAACATCTGAAATAGTGCTTCAATGCTACTTCCATTCTTTCACATAATTTTGCAGATATTAAAACTATTCCCATTCATTAAAATGTCCTTATCCTTTATAAGACTACATCTGATCATAACCATCATTTGACTGATGAGAAATAGACAAGGGTGATATTCTCAAATTTTATTAAAAATGATATTTGCTTGCAAGTTAATTATAAAATTCATACTTGTTTTAGGCCTTTGGTCTGTAATGCTGTGTCTATTCTCATTGCTGATTTAAGGCCAATGCTATGAAATATCATGAAGAAGAAAGCTTAATATTTTCTCTAGCATTGATACACAAGGCTGTGGCCTGTAGCACAACTGATTGAGCAGATTATCAATATTATGTTTAGCATTTCAGTTACATTTAATTTTATGTTGTAATTTTATGAATATATGAGGGACACTGGAATTGAGTATTTATAGTTCCTTAAATAGTTCAAGAAAATAAATATTTTCAGTGTGCAGATTCTTCAGCCAAGTGTATTCATCCTGCATCTTTTTCTAAAAGAGTACAGTTACATAACAATCATATTACCCAAAGTAGCCCTTCTAAAATGCTTAAAAATTTTATACTCTTTCTAACACATGCCGCCTTCTAAAATTAAAGCCCCTGAAAGTTGCTAATGTCTGATGTGCTCCTGTAACATCACTTTCCATGACCCTTATGGGTACTCAATAAATGTTTGTTGACACTTCATTTTCAAACTGTAATAAATTTTAACAAACTATTACATATGTAAATGTAAATTATTAATAAATTAAATTAAAAGTAAATTATTAATTTACTTCTGTGTAGGAAATGTAGGCAAGTTTGACGTTTTAGGATAAAATTTCTGAATTATTATTCCTTTTCAAAATTTCTACTGTGTAATGATCCACCTGCAGAGTTATTACTCTGAAAATGCCACAACTAAAATAATAATAAGCTCAATTTGTGGAGCACTTATGTGCCAAGCACAGTTCAAAACAATTTCTAGTGGTCTTACGCCTTCCGATGCTCACCATGACCCTACGATTAGGCAATGTTATTTCCATTTTACAGATGCACAGAGACAGAACGTACTCCTTCAAGGCTGCAGGGCTGGTAAACACCAGGGCTAGTTTTTGAACTGGGCCATGGCTCAGAGCCCACACTCTTAACCTCTGTGCTATGCAGTCTCTCTTTCAATCCTTTTCTCTTTATCTAATTTGTTTTTTAATACTTTAAGATTAGCACCAGCTTCAAATCCAAGTGTATAATTAAGATGTGTGCTAATTACACAGGAAAATCTCTGGTCAAAGATACTTAATGAGCATGTTTTCATTATCCAGAGCATCCGTGAACATAAATTAGGGGTCTTATCACTACCTACCACCTTACTAAATTAACATGGAGTTAATGGCCTTTGGGCTTGGGAACACATGTTCCCATGTGGCCCAGACACAATTCATTTCTCACCTGCCAGCCACAGTTGCAGGGTATGTGTGTGTGTGGTGTGTATTAATATGACTGTGAATGTCTCCCAGTCCCATGTGAGCCTAGAAGAATTTCATTTGTTCTACCTGGATGTTACAGTAACAGTATATGCTTAGCAGCTGCCCCCAGGTGCCAAGTCCTTAATTACTAGCAGCATCTTAGCAGCCACTTTCTCCTGGCACTGCCGGGGGAAAGAACGCTATAGATTCCCCATGAATTATTCCCCCAGGAGCTGTGCAATGGGAAGGCCCTGCTTCCTATCCAGAATTATAAGCTGGACAGCAAGCAGGAAGCGTCTGGTGGGACCCTATAAAAATTGTGAAAGATTCAAAAA